TACTTATGAAAATTTCTGCTTGAGTTTCTCCCCAGAAAATGTTTTTTTTCTACCATATAGGCTGCAAATTTTCCAAACTTCTATGCTCTACTTCCCTTTTAAACGTAAGTTCCAATTTCAGACCATCTCTGTGAAGGCATATGATTGTATGTTTTCAGAAACAACCAAGTCAAATCTTAAATGCTTTGCTGCTTAAAAATTTCTGCTGCCAGATACTCTAAACCCTCTCTTTCAAGTTCAAAGTTCCACAGATTTCTAGAGCAGAAAAAAAAATGCTGCCAGTCCCTTTGCTAAAGCATAGCAAACGTGACGTTTACTCCAGTTCTCAGTAAATTTCTTATCTTCATCTGAGACCACTTCAGCATTGACTTCATTGTCCATATCACTATCAGCATTTTGATCAAATTCATTCAACAAGTCTCTAGGAAGTTCCAAACTTTCCCACATTTTCCTGTCTTCTTGTGAGGCCTCCAAGCTGTTCCAGCCTCTGCCTGTTACCCAATTCCAAAGTTCCTTCCACATTTTCAGGTATCTTTATAGCAGTGCCCCACTCTGGGTACCAATTTTCTGTATTAGTCCATTTTCGCACTGCTATATAGAACCACCTGAGACTCAGTAATTTATAAATAAAAGAAGTTTAATTGACTAACAGTTCTGCATGGCTGGGGAGGCCTCAGGAAACTTACAATCATGACAGAAGAGAAGGAGAAGCAGGCATCTTCTTCACAAGGCAGTAAGAGACAGCAAGAATGAAAGCGGAACTGCCACATACTTTCAAAACATCAGATCTCATGAGAACTCACTCACTATCATGACAACAGTATAAGGGAAACTGCTCCGATGATCCAGTTATCTCCACCAGGTCTCTCCCTCAACACGTGGGAATTACAACTCAAGATGAAATTCAGGTAGGGACACAGAGCCAAACCATATGAGCTTAATACATGTTAACTATTGTTACATCATTCTTCCCAGAAGGAACCGTCCATCATGTTTCCCCCTTTCCCAATGCCATCTACCACCATGGGCACTCAGCACCCACCACAACTTAGCCCAGAAATTCTTTTTCATCTAATTTCTTTGTTTGTAGAGTCCACTCAATCATCTCTTCTGTGTCCTGACCTCACAGTGGGATGTAGGGAGATGAACATGTGTTCTGAAGTCAGGTAGACCTGGGCTTGAACCCCAGTTTTGCCCCTTCGTAGCTCTGTGAGCTTGTGCTGTTTCCTTAAGCTGTCTGTGCCTCAGTTTCTTCACATGTAACGTGAAAATAAGATTACATTAAGGATTATACATAGAAGAGCATCATCCTAACACCTACTAGGGTGTTTGAGCCTAGCAGTATTGTTAATTGAATCCCTGCTCCAATTGGTCTGCCAGTCCTGCACCCGGCACACTATCCTCTTTTCTATTTCTTTACATCTTTAGGAGACCTCCTTCCAACTGGAAAGTTTCCTTGCTCCTCTACCTTCTTTTGGATTGGTGCTTCATATCTGTAATAATACTGAGAACTTTGTTTTGTATGGTTCTTTACAGCTTTCCCAATTCTTTCCAAAACTATCTCAGTTAATTTGCATAACTCTGGGAGATACTCCAGCTTGGTAATTATTATTTCTATTTTTTAAAGGGAAACTGAGGCTCTGAGAGATTGAATAAGTGATTTATGATATAAATGGGGGCCTGGATCAGAGTCTTCTGGCTCCTGGTCACAATGCCTTTCTCCCCTATAGCATTTTGCACCTGAGTGACTGCTGTTCATCTGACCTCAATACCCTTTGTAATGTTGCAAATTGTTTTTCCATAAGTTCCTGTCTTCTCGTCCCCAAGTAGGGACATAGTCTTATTCTTTCTCCCTGGTCAAGTGCCTTACAAATATCTGTTATTTGGTCGATGTCATTAAACGTGTTAAAATTTGAATTAATATGTTATGTTTCAAGGCCACTGTAGGAAACTAACAGCTGTATTGGCTAGGAGGTCGAACTATTATAATTCAGTTTTATTTAGGAGTAAGAGCCATAAAGACAGATCCCACTCTTGAGGTGCCTGCTTCTCTGCACTTGTGCCTTTGGACTTTGATTCCTTGGATCTGGGGAATTTGGAGTTAGCTGCTCCATCTTCTGTGCTCTGCATTCTTGTGCTATAAATAACCCTGACCACAGTGGATTGTAATTAATCCACTTATCCATCTGTTTCCCCCAACCCCAGACTGTGAGTCCCTCCAGGGCAATACCATATCTAGTTCTTCTCAGTGTCCAGGGCTCGCCTCTGTGCTTGGCACATAATGGAAGTTACAAGAATAAGCCAGAAAGATCCATCTGGGTCCCTCCCCTAATCCCCTAGGATTGTACTCCTTCCCATTATCTTACTTATCATACATATTTCTTATCTCTTATACTAAATTAAAGGCAGGTTTCATGTTTTACTCAGTTTTGTAGCTTCCCTAACAACTATGAAAGGAAGAAACTATAATTATTGACTGTCTTTTGTGTGCCAGTAGTGATTTCAATATGTTATCTCACTTTTAAATAATTTAATTTAATTCTCATAATAGGTTGATAAGGTAGGCATTATCATCCCTGAATAACAAAAGAGGGAGCTGAGACTCAGGGAAATAAAGTAATTGAATTTGACCAAGTTTACAAAGCCAGTAAGTGGCAATGCTAGGATTTCAATTCCTGTCTGCTGGCTCTGAGACCAATGCCTTTCTTTTTTTGTTGTTGCTTTTTGTTTTTTAACAGCACATAGGATACTGCCTTAGCCTACAGGTGTCAGGAACTCTCTGAACTAACACTTGAATTTAATCACAGTGCATCACATCTGTGCAAGCCTACTCCCAAATATGTCAAGTGTATTTACTGCTGCCTTCCCATTTGATTGTTTGGATGAAATGTTTCTGGGAACACATACTGAGCACTAGCAACACGCTAGACACAGCACTAGGCACTGGGGATACAAGGCTGAAGGCAGGCTCCCTCAAGAAATGTTCAGCTTAGTGAGATAACAGACTGTAACAGCAGTAATAAATGTGATTTCTGTTATGGCAAGACAGAAGACAAAAGCTTAGGTTGGCCTGTAGTGGTCTTGAGGAACTTCTGAGTAATTTATAAAGGAGGAATGAGAGTTGGCTGAGCCAAGGAAGAAGAGAGAGCATATGGTAATTCTGCACTACGGTGCAGAATTGCAGGCAGGACAGGGCTGGAATAAGGAGTATTTTGGTGGAGAAGGGCAAGGAGAGCAAGAGATTCTGAAGCTGATCACCCTGTGTCTATGTCATGAACCTAAGCCCATTACTGGCTACCAGCCATTACCGCTTCACAAGCATACTTTGGCTTAGATGACCAACAGCTAGGACATTTTCTTCACCCAAGAAATGAGTTAGAGAAACAGCTGGCAGCATCTTTATCTGTCTACTCTAGGTATGTGAGAGATGAGGGATAAACATGGGGTCTGCATTTTCCCAATGTGTAGAAAATAATGAACAAGCAACTGGGCAGACACACATGGTGATGTCCTGTGCCTGGGGTGAGCCATGGCTGCACTCAGCAGGCCAGGAAGATGCAGCCTGGCTTTACACCTGTGTTCTTCATGTGCTCCTAGAGCAGAGGGCCATGGGGAAGCAATGTGAGGTGTAATCAGCACTCGGCCCTGCTCAGAACCACTTTCTTAGGTGGTGGGTGAAGAATTCTGCCAACTCTGGGCCACAGGGTAGGAAACTGAAAATGTCAGTTGGGTTCACCCAGCTCAAGTTTTCCTCTTTCTCTGCCTGAAAATGTTCTTTAACTTGAGACTTTGTAAAACCAACCAAAGAATGGCTGAGAATTGAGCCAACCCTGTGATGAATTAATTATATGTAACTTAGTCAATAATAAATTTATACACATCTATATTCATCACATGCAAAAACAAATCCAGTAGGGTTCTGTTGCTGACTATCAGTTCCTTCTTCCTCCTTTCCTTGGGACTTAAATAAATCCTCAGGTCAGATTCTGTCGTGGTCCAGCCTAGATCTTACTGTTTTCCCGTGCTGTGTGTTATGCATTAATTCCCTCCCTCATCCCACTGCAGTCACCATCCCACATGATCTTCACCAAACCACTGTGCACTGGTCACTTCCACATATTCAAACTGTCTATCCCATCCTTTAAATATAGCTAACCTGCCTGCCCCTTGTACTGAAATGTACGTAAAAGTCAGCTGAAGTGAACTATGTTTAGTCCTAAGGTTGGTCCCCACACATTCCTTTATCTTTTGCTCCCTGCTTATCTCTCCAGCTCTCTACTCCAACTGTGCTTCCTCTAATGCATTCTTCACACTGCTGTCTGGATGATTGATCTAAAATTCAAATGCAATTATATTACTCCCCTGCCAGAACCCTTCACTGGTTTTCAGATCCTTTCAAATGACATCCAAACTCCCGAGGCATTTAGAGCAAGGCCATTCATGAACAAGCTTCTTCCTGCCTCCCTGGCATCATCTCCTAACTTTCCCCTTGACAGTTTGTGACACAGCAATGCTGAATTACTTATGACTCTCTAAACACACAATGTTATTTAATGTTTCTGAGCCTGGCCTACAACTCTACCACCCTGAACGCACCCAATCTTGTCTGATCTTGGAAGCTAAGCAGGGTCAGGCCTGGTTAGCACTTGAATGGGAGTCTTCCAGAACAGTCTTTCTACTCTATTTTGCTTTACAAATATGATTAGCCTTTAACATTCTCTCAACCATCCCCTTCTCTGAGAACTTCCTAGACAGAAGTCATCTCTGGGCTGCTTCTTTGTCTTCTTCAACATCTACTGTTGGCCTGTCTGTACATTCCCAAGACGTATTTGCTTATAGGAACTCTGTCTTATCACTGAATAGCTCAGGCCTAAGACAGGATAGGTGCTTACTCAGTGCTTTTTGAATCATTGTCCAATTACCCATCCTCCCAATCATTTAATGGACTCATGTTTCAGCCACAGCCACACTGATAACTTCATGCTCATTGGCTTTCCCAGGTCGGGCCAATCACTGGTCTGCAATCATCGGAGGATCCCACTCCAAGAATTATGTACTATGGGAATATGGAGGATATGCCAGTGAAGGTGTCAAACAAGTTGCAGAATTGGGCTCACCCGTGAAAATGGAAGAAGAAATTCGTCAACAGGTAAGACAAAAAAAATCACAGGATGACCAAATAACAGAAATGCAGTCAAAGCACTCTTTAGATGTCTTTCCCAGGGGCTTGAAATTTGCAGTACACGTGCTGGAAGAAAATCTATTTGCTGAACTTGGGGTTTTTATGTTAAGTAGAGGACAGAGGCACAAATTTCCATTTTGTTGTCTTAGATTGTACCCGACTGCATTCATGTTTTCTTCAGCCTGTGCTAAATACTGCTGCCGTGGCCACATTGTTGGGATGCCCTGTCTCTAGTCTCCTGAGAGTCAAAGCCATGAATTAAGGCTTTCTTACTGTGATCTTTGAGAGGGTCAGAGGAATAATAGTCAAACTGTCTCAGCCAAATCCCCAAAGTAAGCGTTTGTGTATTTGTACGTGATTTTCGCAACTCTGTCCTGAGGTACTTGATAAATTGTTCATTCATCATAATCATTGTGGACTGAGGCATCTTCTGTGCCCCATGTTGTGTGGGCCCAGGAGCTGTCCCATTATCTAGGCCCCACTGATACCTCTGTGAGATAAGAGAGAAAAAGTCCATAATTATTGTCAATTCCATTGGCTGGCAATGCCATTGTCCTTCATCAAAACCCTGATCATCAGGTTGACACCAGAGAGAGGCTAATGAGAGAACCTTGGCAGAAGAGCCACAATTTTTCAGTGGTGGTTTGCTGCAAGACGTGGCAGTGTAGCTTTAGCCATCACTACCCACAAAAGCCCATCCAGCCTGAGAGAGTACCATGGCAGCATGTCCCACTGCTCACCAAGTGCTCTGGAGGAAGTAAGGAAAGAGCAAACCATGTGTGGAATGTGATCATTTCACAACACGGTCACTGAGAGGCTGTTACCCTCCCCGTGCTCCTGTCCCATAGCTCCTAAGACAATGCAGGAGGCTCCAGAAACACCAGGGACCCCATCTCCCAATGTGCACATGCCCAGAGGCCTGAGCAGTACAGCAGGGCAAGCACAGCTGAGGCCTGCAGTGCTCCCTTGGAAGCCTACCGTCTGGACTCCAAGCTGCCCACAAACCCTAAATCAGATGCAACAAAGGTCACTCTGACTTCTGCTATAAATCCTCTGAGGAGTCCGTTTGGACTAAAGTCAAAAAATGCCCCAGAATGAGCTTATGTTTCTTATTAACTTAATTTAACGTCTTTCTTCCTTTCTTGGAAAAAAGGGTGTTTGGCCAGATGTTTTAAGAGTGCATGCTATTCATCCAAGATGAGCTATCTAACTACGCTGTTTCTCTAACTCTATCTGCCATGCCTCATAATTGTCATCACTCCTTCAGGCTATGGCAGAGTCGTGGAGGGATCCATATTGGTGTAGTCTGTCTGGCCCATCATGGGGGTAACCCTTGCCTGGGATCCTAGAGGTCCACATTCTCAGTTCTCAAGTGTGAAATTATGCCTCCCTGGTTTGTCAAGCTCCATGGTGGGGAATCTTGAAAACCGTCTGTTACAAGTAGTAGTTAAAAAACTAAAGTTTGCCAGTTCATTACGGGAGGGTCAAGGGTATCTTCATAATAATGTCAGTCTCGCTTGTTGGCTTTCTTGAGAGGTTTCTGGAAAGGAAAGAAGCCTGCAGGAATCGTACAAAACTGGCACTATATCGTGCTGGTGAACATTAGCTGACGTGTCATAGCAATAAAAAGATTGAAAACTCATGGATGGGAACCCCCCCACCACCACCACTGCCAGCGTTAGAATGTCCCTTTTAGGAAAAAGTCCTTTGGCATGCCCCTAATTAGCATGCCTGTGATTTGCTTGTATTATCACACAGGCAACGTCTGTCTGCCTATCCCAGCTGTCTAGGGTTTCAGACTTTCAGTCATAATAGTAAGTCCAATTATGGGTACCGCACATGGGAATGAGCATATCTCAGTGCCTATCACCAACTTTGAGGCCCCCGGGTGCTGGATATCTACTTTTAGCCCCCTTCACATCTAGTCTGAGAAGATTCTATTATTATCCCAGTTTTACAGATAAGGAAACCAAGGCATCATCAATAGTAGAGAATACTAGGACTTAAACCCAAGTATGTCTGGCTCCAAAACCCAGACAGTACCAGTTGTATCATCTGCTCAGTGTAAACAAGGGGCCCCTTGTTCAAAACGTGTTGAGAATCTCAAGATGGCAATACTGTGAATTTCACAATATGGGGTCCTGTGAGATGGCACAAGTCATCTGCCCATGAAGCCAGGCCTACCTGTACACTTTCCCTGTCCCACACAGCTGCCCCACAGAGAAATTCCTCTTGCCAACCTCTGAATCTGGCCTCTGCTAGCAGTGCCTCAAGTTCCCCAGCTCCTGGGAAAGTCAGCTGGATAGGGTGATTTCAGGGTTCCAAAGAATTCATCGCTCTAACTATTGTTCCCCACAAGCACACAATTGATTATATTTTTCTGTAGGTCGGGTAAGAAACAACATTAAAAGGAGCAAGAATATGAATCCTCCTAGAATATAAAAATGTCCTCTGAATAACCAGAAACTCGTTTGAAAACATCTACAAACTAACACAGTGTTCTCAGCACTTAATACTTTATATCCTACCGATGACTCTGTAAAAGAACCTGGGCCAGCCATGATGAAAATAAAAAGCCCTCTTTTTTCAAGAAAGACATTTATATGCTTACCAGCATTCCCTTATTATAAACTTTCTGCTCACTGCAAGTTTCAAGGGCATTAAAAATCACAATAGATATTGTTGGAGGTAAATTTTATGCTAATGGCTCTCAAACACAAATGAACAAAAATACTAATCCCATTAGTAGTGGAAAGTTATAATAATACTGTTGAGTATAAATTTTAACATTACTATAACAGCAAAATGCCAAGAAAATTAATGAAAAATCACAGCAGAATTATTAGCAGTAGTGTTGCTAGTGGCTGGGGATGGGTAAGGGCACAATGTTCTCCCCTTCGTGGAAGGACAAAAGCAAATGTGTCCTGGTGGACGAGGGGACTGGGAATTGGAAATACTGAACTATGGCTAGCGGCAGGTCACAAATGGGTAATCCAACACAGACGGAGGCTGTAGGAAATGGTAGATCACACTTGTAGGTTGGAGTGGGAGTGGAAAGTGAGCTTATGAATACTCATTATGAAAACACTTCATTCCACTAAGACCATTTCTACTGCAGTAAGCCCATAATTCTGGCATGTTTACTAAGTGTCTGGTTCTCTGCTGGATGCTGGCCCAAAGATGATCCCCCTTTCACTCAGTTATTCAGGCTAGAATCCTTGATCCCTAGCACCCAATTCTCTTTTAAATTCATCCAGTTCAATCTGTCCTCATCACCACCTCCCTCTCTTTATCTCTTCCCTAAATTGCTGCACTGGCCTCCAGATGTTCCTACGTCTGATCCTCCTCCTACTGCCAATACTGCCCCAGGGCTATGTTTATAAAAAACAAATCAGATCATGCCACTCCCCCACTTAAAGTATTTAATGGTTTCTCCTTAACCCTAAGACAAAGTCCAAATTCCTTATCATCGCCTAAAAACCCTCCATGTCCTGGCCTTGTCTTACCTCTCCAATTTTATTTCTTGCAGCAACTCTTAAGTTTTAGGTATGCAGAACCTCTTTCAGTCTGTGCAAAAGGGCCATGCCCTTCTTGCATCTGGACCTTCTCTCAGCCAGGACATCTTCCAGCAGCCTTCTAACTGGTGTCGGGTAATTTACCTCCAACAATATCTATTGTGATTTTTAATGCCCTTGAAATTTGCAGTGAGCAGAAAGTTTATAATAAGGGAATGCTGGTAAGCATATAAATGTCTTTCTTGAAAAAAGAGGGCTTTTTATTTTCATCATGGCTGGCCCAGGTTCTTTTACAGAGTCATCGGTAGGATATAAAGTATTAAGTGCTGAGAACACTGTGTTAGTTTGTAGATGTTTTCAAATGAGTTTCTGGTTATTCAGAGGACATTTTTATATTCTAGGAGGATTCATATTCTTGCTCCTTTTAATGTTGTTTCTTACCCGACCTACAGAAAAATAGGTCTCAGGACTCAGCTTAGATGTTGCTTCTTCCAGGAGGCCTTCCCAGATTCTGTACTTCCCTGATCCTTGTCAGGTGTTCCTAGCACTTTGCTTCTCCTATTGTTAGCATCGTCACACTTACATATTTGTTTGATGTCTCTCCCTCACTAAACAACAAGGTTTAAAGCTACCCTTCCCACTATTATATCCCCTGAGCTTGACATAGTATTGGATGCTTCATAAATGTTGCTTGAATATATAGTTTGTTTATTTAATAACTTTATAAATATTCATTGAACTTATTAATTTATTAATTCAATAATTTTACTGAACACCTACTATGTACTATGCTTTGGAGATGCAGCAGAAATCAAGGAAACTCCTTCCCTTCGTAAGACTACATCCTAACAGCGGAGAAAAGGAAAACATGAAAAATATATACATTTAAGTGAAAAGAAACCAACCAGGGTGGCAGTGACATAAAGAGGATTAGGAGTAGGGAGGGGCTTGTTTTAGATACAGTGGTCAGGAAGGTCACCCGAACAAGTGACCATGAATGGTTCTTGCATAAAACTCTGAGCTTTGAAGAGCCACCCGTTTATTAAAAATGCATTAGAAAAATCACTCCAGCTTTTATATTTCTCTGGATTCAAGGCTCCCCTGACCATAAAAGGTCAGGTAATGGTGGACCCTAATTATAGGAAGTGATTATTTCACCTTCAGGAGGCCTTGCTTTGGAGGATGTCTTGAACCAGCCCACAGGATTATCACGCCACCTGTGGCATGAGAAACAATACACAAGCAAATGTTCTTTTTCTTTAAAGTTGAAACAGTTTATATGGCTCTGGGAACTGGAAGAAAAGGTTTGAGAATTTTTTTTTTCTCATCTCCTTTAAATCATTGGAGATTACGTATGTCTACTAAACTATTGTTTTTTCTGTTTTTTGATTTTCTAAATTTTTAGTAACTTTTCTTTAATTAAAACCATGGCCTGATTTTGAGTGTTTTCTA